GCCGCACATCTAGAAAACGTTTTCAAACCTCTCCCACCAACAAATAGCTTTGTGCTTCCAACAAACATATTTCCAGAGGCTACCCTGCATATCATATTCCAATCAAGAGAAATGATAAAAATGATAAGGGCTCAAGAAAAAAATAAAGCGCCAGGACACGATTTAATCTCCCCTAAAATGATTATAGAATTGCCGAACTGTGCAGTAAATCTTCTCACCACAATATTCAACAGCATGATGAAATTGGGCTATTATCCACAACAATGGAAAAAGTCTGTCATCACTATTATCCACAAAGCCGGAAAAGACAAGTCCCAGACTTTATCATATAGGCCAATCAGTCTCCTGCCGTGTTTATCAAAGATATTTGAAAAGCTGCTCCTGAATCGTATAAAGCAACTCCTACTGTCCCATAATGCCATTCCAAGCCACCAATTTGGTTTTCGCGAGAAACACGGAACCATTAAACAAGTAAACCGAATAACCTCCGAGATACGAAATACATTTGAAAATCGAGAGTATTGTTCCGCAGTCTATCTGGATGTCGCCCAGGCCTTCGATCGCGTTTGGCTGGACGGCTTAATTTATAAAATTAAAACCGTGCTCACACAGAACACCCATAAAATACTGGAGTCATATCTTGAGCATAGAAGTTTCGCAGTGCGATGTAAAGATTTCCTCTCAGAATACCACCCAATTGAAGCTGGAGTACCTCAAGGTAGCTTGGACGAACACTGTATATAATTTACACAGCAGACCTTTGACAACCAGTCTTACAACAACCTCAACATTTGCTGATGATACTGCTATTCTAAGTCGATCTAAGTGCCCCATAAGAGCAACGCAACAGTTATCAGCTCATATCAGGCTTCATAAACATTTGCTGATGATACTGCTATTCTAAGTCGATATAAGTGCCCCATAAGAGCAACGCAACAGTTATCAGCTCATATCAGGCGCATAAAGGTTAACGAGCAAAAGAGTAAACAAGTCACCTTTACCCTAAACAGACAAACTTGCGCCCCACTATCTCTGAACAACATTCATATTCCACAAACAACTAAAGTAACATATCTTGGAGTCCACCCTGATAGACGGCTTACTTGTCGAAAGCACATCGAAACTAAAAGAACACAACTTAAATTAAATGCAAGAAGCCTACATTGGTTAATAAATGTCTGTTCTCCGCTAAAATTGGAGTACAAGGTACTTCTATACAATGCAGTTCTCAAGCCAATTTGGAAATATGGCTCCGAGCTATGGGGAAACGCATGCGTTTGCAACCTAGAAGTAATACAGCAAGCTCAATCAAAGATACTGAGAACTATAAGTGGTGCACCGTAGAACATACGGAATGAAAACATTCACAGAGATTTAAATGTGGGATCTGTTAAAGACGAAATAGACAATGTAAAAGCAACGTATACTTTGCTTTTCGTCAAGCTACAGGCTCATCCCAATAGGCTTGCGCGGTCTTTAACCTGCGCGGTCTTCCCACCAAGCAACAATAGCTAGAACCGTTCTCCTAAAAACTTAATTTTAACTAATTAAATTTATGGTTTAAGCTAAGATATGAATACTTGTCGTTAGTCTCGAAGAGAGAAGATTCGATAAATAAAAATACCGTAATTACAAAAAAAAACATTTATATCCGGCTATGACTGGTCTGAACTTTATTCATGCACCAACATGGCTGAGGTCGTTAATATTTTTTTAATGCATTGAACTCCTTTTTATCTCTGTGTTCCGTTGTACTATTCGTTAATTTTCAATAAACATCCATGGTTTAATAGAAAGTTGTTATACCTAAGTCCAGACTTATCAATAAATTCTGCCTTTTCTCGATACCTAAGGGCTTGGTCAAATTTAACCTTAACGCCCAGTGTTATAAAAGCTATCTGACTCGTTGTAGGGTCCAGTTTTCACAAGATCCAAAACAGTTTTATAATTTTGTTAAAAATAAGCGTAAATCATCATCGCTATCATTTCAAAATTCTACGGCAAATACTAATCAGGCAATTGCCGATCCATGTCCTCGTCGCCATGATTTCTACACTTGTCGTTATCTGAAAAATAAAACAAACTATAAACAAATAAACTATGACATGTTTCAAAGATTGTATATGTTTCGTAATGTTGTTATTTTCTGCAATGCTTCGATCCTTTGTCTCATTAATAAACTCCAACATTAAGGGTCGACAAAATCTAATCGATTGGAGCGTTCTGTTGTTTCATATTAGGTTGTCAAATAACTCCCTTCCGCTTGTTTGCTCTTTATTCAATGCTTTATGAAAATTGATACAGTGAACGGATTTAGCTAAAATATGCGCCGCTTTGTTCGATAATGTGTTACCATTTATGCCCTCTTCCCATAGAGTCCATCCGTCTGAAACGGTTGGTATTTTTGACAAATGTGAAACTCCGATTCCCACAGAGCACATCCACCATCCACCATCCGATAACAGCTGACTTTAACATGAGCACAACAGCGTTATAAATGATACTTGGTAACAGACTGCAAGTGATCTAAGCGAACAATCAAAACGAACTAATACGTCTGCAGATTTTTGCCAGCCTGCAGACAAAATATGAACAGCTATTGCCCAATATTGTCTAAATGGTAACAAATCAAGTTCATTATATATATATTTTATTTCATTTTAAATGTTCTGCTCAATGTTGTGAGTAAGGTATGCGCCTAGGAAAGAGTGGAGCAACACCTAATGCTGCCACACGGATGGAGCAGTAATTAATTAATTATTACAGGTATAAACTGCATTTTTTGAATTGGCACCTTCCTGTTCAAAAGTTACCCGCCATTATTTTTTTTAAATTTTCGTAGTGAATGTTCCAATTTCCACTGTCAAGAAGAAGAACTCAGAGTTGCACCAAAAAAACATCGCCTAACTATCGCATAAAAAAGTCCGTCAAATTTGGATGGGGAACTAACTGGGAATTTTCGGAACGGCAAAACCTTATGGACCATCCGTTCAACGGATGGTGGATGGAGCTCTGTGGGAAGAGGGCATTAGACGGCAACTTCATAAACCCCCCTCGTAGAAACTTCCCTCCTTATTTGCGAAAAACTCTGGCAGCCACTTTTCACAACCCTCTTGAGGCCAACTTTACACCAGTAAGGGAATTCTCCATGGACATGAACAGGTGATAGTCACTTGGCGCTATGTCCGGGCTATATGGTGGATGCGATAAAATCTCCCATCCGAGCTCCCGTAGCTTCTGACGAGTCATCAAAGAAGTGTGTAGTCTGGCGTTGTCCTGGTGTAACACTACACCCTTCCTGTTGGCCAATGCTGGTCGTTTCTGGTCGATCGCCAGCTTCAAGCGCTCCTGTTTATCGCAGTAGATGGTAGAATTAAGCGTCTGGCCATATGGGAGCAGCTCATAGTGTATGATTCCCTTCCAGTCCCACCAAACACAGAGCAAAACTTTCCAGACGATTTACCGGCCTTCAACCACGACCGTTTTCGCTTGATATTGTCGTATGTGATCCATTTTTGGTCGCCAGTTACCATCCGCTTCAAAAATGGGTCAAGTTCATTCCGTTTCAGCAGCATATCGCAGACGTTGATTCTGTCCAACAGGTTTTTTTGCGTAAATTCATGCGGCACCCAACATCCAGATTTTTTTGTATCCAGCCTTTTGCAGATAACGGTTTAAACACTAGCAATACAAACAATAGCAAAGAACTAGAGCTGGAAAATCATCGATGTTTACCTACATCGATGTTTCGATGTTTTTCAGAAAAAAACATCGATGTATCGATACATAGAAGTCTATACTAACGTATATTTTAGTTTCTTTTATTTAATTAATAAAGGTGTGTAGACTACCAAGATTCTTTCCTGCCAAGCAGTGATGGGTAAAGAGGAAACATCGAACATCGATGTTTGAAAACCTCGATGTTTCCCAAGTTTTGGAAAACATCGATGAATCGATAAGTCTCCGATGTTATTTCCAGCTCTACAAAGAACACTTGGTAAAGCCTAGTACTCAGATCGACAAACGAGTACGTTAGCGTAAAAACTTTAATCTTTCCAGTGGGACCAAAATTTCAAGAGTTTATCAGAATAAAGCGTGATACGGTCTTACTGTAAATCAGCTGGGTTTGTTGACAAGCAGTTAAAATTCAAATATCGTATACCTTTAAAATATATTATCAAATACCTTGGCAAGACAAGTCTGTCGCTGTACAAAGAAATTCAAAAACAATACAATTTAAATTAAACAATTGTTTTTTTAATTTAATGATAATATTTGCTAATTTCAAGTTCATAGCTGCACTTTTATTGTGTTTTTTCGAACGTTTTTGACCCAAGAAACATTTTGCTCTGACAAGAGGCACCCCAGATAGTTGTAATGTTATTTTGTCCTCACATGTAAACTCCTTCAAACGACTTCTGCGGGCTTTTGATTTTTTCCCTCCATTTTTTAAAATGCTCAGTGAGAAGCGCACGCCAAAAGATTAAATTTTGTATTCCTTTCGCTAGGGTTCACCCAAAGTTCATTTCAGCAGACTGGCAACGCTATGAAATTTTCTGGTATTTTTTCGTCGATCTGAGCTGCTTGCCTCTCGCTCTCTCTCATGACTGGCGTACGGTTTTCGTCGATCTGAGTACTCTAAGGCACTTTCCCGCAAATACGATATTTGAATTTGAACTGACTGTCAACAAACCCAGCTGATTGACAGTACGACCGTAGCACGCTTAATTCTGATGAACTCTCGAAATCTTAGTCACACTGGAAAGATTAAAGTTTTTACGTTAGCGTACTCGCTTGTCGATCTGAATACTAGGCTTAATGGTAGACAGTGTAAATGTTTAATTTTTTAACACTTTCCCATATGTCAATAAGCTAATGGTCGACGCAGCTGGACTCAGCGTAAGAAATATCCCAAGTCAAAAAATTAAAACATTCCACCGTTCCACTTTCGACGCTAATTCGCCGACATTGAGGGTAAGTAAAATATCACCTAAATATTCCCGCCAGCATTTGTATTCATATATATATACATATAAATTTACCACTGATAATTTTTGGTTTGTTCGTATACAGCGCGACCTAAGGTTAGAATATTTCATTGCTTTTCTTTTAAATAATTTTTTTTAGTAAATTGTCTCATATGTTTTAAGTGCGTTTTAATATAATGAGTTTTGTGTACATATATAGTTTGTAGTCAAAAACAAATAATTGAAAAAGTACGCGTCAACGAAACACATTGACAAAAACTTGTGTAATTTATCTTAAAACATTACAAAAATTGTTTTTACATTTTTTTATAGCAGAATGAAATAAAATTACAAGAAATTGATGCCAGCATTGTCCAACCGGCGAAAATAATTTTATGCTCAGCACGCGTGCGTGGGCTAGCATCGATTTTTCGCTCAATAAACTACTTAAAATCGGAACGTGACTATTCTTAGACACTCCTTAATCAAATAATTTGTGGATAAAGATAATTGATTGTACAATATGGGTGCCTACTTGTCGCATCCGAAGACGGATAAAGCGTCTACAGATGAATTTAATGAGTTGCTTGCTGTTGGAGCCAGCTCAATGCAGGGCTGGCGGAACAGTCAAGAGGTAAACAAAATAATTATTTTTTTTAGCAACATTGATATTAATGGTATACAAAATATTTCAGGATGCACACAACTCCATTTTAAATTTTGACAAGGATACATCGTTTTTTGCTGTTTATGATGGTCACGGCGGAGCTGAGGTAGCCCAATATTGTGCCGACAAGTTGCCAGAGTTTCTTAAAAGTCTAGAAACGTATAAAAATAAACAACTTGAAGTGGCACTTAAAGATGCATTTTTGGGATTTGATAAAACGCTGCTTGATCCTCCGATAGTCAGCATACTAAAAATATTGGCAGGCGAACATAATTTCGTCGATGCTGATGCGGAGGATTACGATGATGAAGATTTAGCTGAATTGCAAGAGGAGAGCAACTTGCCTTTAAATGAAGTCCTAGAAAAATACAAAGGGCTTCCGCAGTCACACGATTCGGTCATTCAAAAAACGGAGAACGAAGCAAATTTAAAAATGCTTTCGCCATACTTGCGCGGCCGTCGGGCCGCAGCTGTAGCAGCGGAAGCTGCCAATAAGGCTGTAATGGACCCGACAGCTAAACCAGAAGGTTCCTCCACCTCAGCAGCAGCAGCAGCTGCAGCTGCTGTTTCTGCCCAAGCTGTAGTTGACTATGCAAGTCCCAGCAACGCAGAGCGGACATTGCAAAAGCTCGAAGACGAATCAATTGTGAGCAGTAGCAATAACGCTCCATTAAAAAATGCAACTCTTGATAAAAACAAGGAATCGAATGGGATTGCTTCTATGGAAGAGAGTGGGGTTACTATTTCTGATCCCAGAATGGCAACTGAGGGTAAGAAGGAGAACAACGCAGAGGAATCATTCGTATCTGGATCTAACGATGTCGACAAAGCGAGCCCAAATGGACAATCCTCTAAAAGTGAAATTACTGGAATTTCGTCGACTAGCAAAGAATCTGAAAGAGTCCTAAAAAAGATAAATTCTCAAGAGGATGAGTCAACAGATGATGATGCCGATTATGATGAAAATGACCTGGTCGAGAGTCCTGATATTTCATCTGCAGAAAGCTCTGATGAAGACATTCAAGATGGTGCTGCCAACGATGACGATGAAGAAGACGATGTAAGTAACAATTAAATTTTAAACAATTTCCTAATTAAAGTATCCTTAGGGGGATGAGGTTAGTGACGATGATGAGACGGATGAAGATCAAATGGCCAATGATAATTTTTGCGCAAATATGATTGAAGAACCTGGCAAAGATAGTGGATGCACTGCTGTTGTTTGTTTGTTGCATGGTCGAGATTTGTACGTGGCAAATGCTGGCGACTCGCGCTGTGTTATATCCCGAAATGGTCGGGCTATTGAAATGAGTCTCGATCACAAGCCTGAAGATGAAGAAGAAGCCTCGCGCATAGTTAAGGCAGGTGGTCGCGTCACTCTTGACGGCCGAGTTAATGGCGGCCTAAATTTGTCTCGAGCCCTTGGAGACCACGCCTACAAAACCAATCTTGAACTGCCTGCTGAGGAACAAATGATATCTGCCTTACCAGACATCAAAAAGTTAATTATCACCCCAGAGGACGAGTTTATGGTATTGGCCTGTGATGGTATATGGAACTATATGTCCAGTGAGGAGGTCGTTGATTTTGTACGATTGAGATTAAAAGATGAAAACAAGAAATTGTCAAACATTTGTGAAGAGGTAAAGTAATATAACATATAAAACTATATGATAAATAACCATTGAAACTTTTAGCTTTTTGACAACTGTTTAGCTCCAAATACAATGGGCGATGGGACTGGTTGCGATAACATGACAGCTGTAATTGTCAAATTCCAGGAAAACCTACAAAAACTACAGACTACCATTGATCCATGTGAAACCGAAGATGTGTTAGCTAACACGAATGCAGCATATGAGAAGGTTTCAGACCTTAATAATGATCAGAGTACACTGAAGAGATGCGCTTCGCCAGATACTGCTTCTGAAATCAATGATTTAGAAAAAAAAAACAAATCCAAACGATTAAAGACTGATGAAATAATCGAACCATCCGACATTATAAGCAGCACTCCATCATCGGCCGAACAGGATGAATGCACTAGCATGAAGGCGAGTAACGAAGTCACTGTAGTTGTTTCTTCATCGTAATTTGATGTACGAAAATGCACTCGTATTCAATATTTGATTGTAACCTGCATTTTAATCTTAAAAATATATGAACTCAAAGAGTCAAATGCGAAAATTGGAGCAACATTACAAAAGCTATGGCAGGTGTATGCAAGCAAATATTCATTTGTACACACTTACATATATTTTAATTATATTTAAAGACATACTTTTTAATTCGTCTTTTCATAAACTGCTACTTAAAAGATAAAATAAAGATAAAATTGATATAATAATTCATATAAATTAAATATGATGTTCTTTATTTTATAAAAGCAAAAAAAACATCAATTTTATAATTTGACGTAAAAAACTAAAAAATCAATAAACGAAGATATTTGCATTTTTAATTTATTTCATTCAGGTACCACTTTAGATGCTACACAAAAATGTGTAAGATTTGATTATTATTAGTAATTAATAAACGTGTAACTGTTATAAAAAAGATTGCAGCTGTATGCTGAAGGTATTTCCGTAGAAAGAAAAATTAACATTCATTACTTGAGTTAAAATGTAAAACTGATTTTATTTTCTTAGTTCTTGCTTAAAGGGGTATATACCTTTTTTTGTCGAAAAAAATAGGAAAGTTTGGATTTTTTATGTATGTAACTATTGTTTTTATTAAATGAATGATTATATTTTCTGAAAGTTTAGATTGTTGACAATGTTTATGCAAAAATTTTTGAAAAAATATTTAATTGTTTTAAAGGTGTGGCTGTTTCCCTTAAACGCCCTTTTTTTAAGAGCCTTGCGGTGATAATTCCCCAGGACAAATGGGTCAACTGATACCGAAAAAATAAAAATATTTCATTAGTTTAAAGTAGTATCCTGTAATTGAACGAACGTTTTAAAAAATTTTTTTTTGTTTTGTGGATACGGGAACGTTTAATGCAAAAAATGACGTTTTTGGACGCTAAAATTCTCACAAAACTATCTATTTTGGCGAAATAAAAATTTTTACATGAAAAAACGATCGTTCAAGTACTAATAAAATTCATTACGGACATTTAAAAAAAATTTGAAGAAAATCGGTTCAGTAGTTTTTCGTCAATCCATACCACCGCAAAGTCATTTAAAAAAAAACCATTTCGAGATATTCGCGTTTAAAGTTTCAAGTTTGGGTTTGGGCGGGGACGAGGCGCGCGGCTAGGAACGCTGTAACTTTTTTTCTACTGCTCAAATCTCTATAAAAATTTTGGGAAATATTCTCAAGAAGTTGTTCTTTAAGATTAAGCAAAAAAAAATTTCGATTTTTTGAAAATGAAAAAGGTATATACCCCCTTAAGTAAATAATATATATTTTGATTTGGTATTAATGATAATTAGCGTTCTTAAGTGTTCTGCTAAAGGACGCCAAGATTGTGTGTGTTTAGGTTATTTGTTACATAGATTGGTTTAGAAATTCATTTATTAAAAATTGAAAATACAAATTTAGTGGACAGTATAATTTTTCGATTTATTTTATCTTGCTTTTAATTAATTTATTTAGTCTTGTAGTCTTTCCTTACCGAAAATTTTCTTATAGCATAATAAATTTAACGTTTTTCACAACATTTTTTATAAGTAAATAATATATGATCGGTTTGTAACTTTTACATATTTAATTTAATACTTAAAATGATACAAAAACTTTTTTTTGTTTTTAATTTCACATTTATTTATTTACATTATTTAACGTCAAAGTGGAGTCCTTTAAAACTGATGAGCTATTTCGGGGAAGCACACAGCCTTTAATAGTCATCTGAAATGAAAAAATCAAAAAGATTATTATTGTGTAGACTTCATTCTAATGAAATAACCAATAATATACATAATATAAAAAAATAACGGACTTGTGAAAAAAAATTGTCAAAATGTAATATTTTTGTTGATAGAATGTTAAAAACATATATATATAAATTAAATGTTTTAAGGGTTAGGTATTTAGATATGTTTATCTAGAATAACTGGTTAAATTTTGAGCCAAATCGGTTTAATAGTTTTGAGACAGTGCTTCCCCGAAATTTCAAAAACATGGTTTCGGCAAAAAACCCTTTTAAAGTTTTGGTACCAAATAAAACATACATTATTGCATACACACTTTCATACACTCTACGGCGCGCTTTCCTTTAAGCCTAGTATCCAGATCGACAAACGATTACGCTAGCGTAAAAACTTTAATCTTTCCAGTGTGACCAAAAGTTTGAGAGTTTATCAGATTTAAGCGTGCTACGGTCGTACTGTCAATCAGCTGGGTTTGTTGACAAGCAGTTAAAATTCAAATATCGTATTTGCGGGAAAGAGCCTTGGCAAAACAAGTCTGCCGCTGTACAAAGAAATTAAAAAATGATGCAATTTAAATTTAACAGTTGTTTTTTTTTTAATTTACTGATAATTATTTGCTAATTTAAAGTTCATAGCTGCACTTTTATTGTGTTTTTTCGTACATTCTGGACCTAAAAAACATTTTGCTCTGACAAGAGGCACCCCAGATAGTATTAATGTTATTTGGTCCTCACATGTAAACACCTGCAATCGACTTTTGTGAGTTTTTTGAGTTTTTCCCTCCATTTCTTATAATGTTCAGTGAGAAGCGCACGCCAAAAGATTACATTTTTTAATCTTTTCGCTAGGGTTAACGTTTCCGCAGACTGGCAACGCTATGGAATTTTCTGGTATTTTTTTCGTCGATCAGGAGACCGACGTGAAAAAAAGGCCCGACGAAAAGTGAACGCCAGCTGTTTGCCTCTCGCTCTCTCTCATGACTGGCGTACAGTTTTCGACAAACGATTACGCTAGCGTAAAAACTTTAATCTTTAGAATGTGACCAAAATTTTGAGAGTTCATCAGATTTAAGCGTGCTACGGTCGTACTGTCAATCAGCTGGGTTTGTTTACAAGCAGTTAAAATTCAAATATCGTATTAGCGGGAAAGAGCCTTTAAAAGATATTATCAAATACCTTGGCAAGACAAGTCTGCCGCTGTACAAAGAAATTGAAAAACAATACAATTTAAATTTAACAGTTTTTTTTTTAATTTACTGATAATTATTTGCTAATTTAAAGTTCATAGCTGCACTTTTATTGTGTTTTTTCGTACATTCTGGCCCTAAAAAACATTTTGCTCTGACAAAAGGCACCCCAGATAGTATTAATGTTATTTTGTCCTCACATGTAAACTCCTGCAATCGACTTTTGAGAGTTTTTTGAGTTTTTCCCTCCATTTCTTATAATGTTCAGTGAGAAGCGCACGCCAAAAGATTAAATTTTTTAATCTTTTCGCTAGGGTTAACGTTTCCGCAGACTGGCAACGCTATGGAATTTTCAGGTATTTTTTTCGTCGATCAGGGGACCGACGTGAAAAAAAGGCCCGACGAAAAGTGAACGCCAGCTGTTTGCCTCTCGCTCTCTCTTATGACTGTCTTATGGTTTTCGTCGATCTGGATACTAGGCTTTAACTTTGAAAATATTATATTATTATTATAATATAAATTGATGAGCATATTTTTAAAATCTGTTTTTAGGAAAAATGTAAAAATAAAAAATTAATTTGACCCATCACACCGGACTGCTAACTTGAACTAAGATTAAAGTAATTAATAATCCGATTCTTCACGGGGGATATACATGCAAACGGTTAAACTTTAGGTATTTTTATAACCTTGCATATACCGCAATTTCAGTCAAAAGATTGCTACGCAGTGAAGGAGACATTTCCGACCCGATAATATATATATATATATTCTTGATCAGCATCACCAGGAGAGCCACGTCCGTCTGACCGTCCGCCCGTTTCTACGCAAACTAGTCCCTCAGTTTTAAAGCTATCTGCTTGAAACTTTTCCAAAAGTTTTCTTTCTATTGCCCCCAAAGGAACAATCGAAAAAAAAAATGTTAAGAAAAACTTTATTTAAATACTATGGAATTACGGCTTTAATTAAATTAAGAAAATCGAAAAAAAAAAATATTTATTTTTCTGGTTTTCTATTTATTAAAATAATCCTTTGAGATATAGTAATTATTTACTATATCAGAATTACGCCTTTAGTGTTGTCAAAATCGAACAACAATATCATATAGCTGCGATAGAAACGATGACAAAATGCAGCACAAAATCGACATAGCTTCATTGTTTTTAGTAATATAAGCATAGAAATTAAAATGTAGTCGTTTTGTAATAGCTGCAAGGGAATATAAACTTTGGCTTGCCCAAGTTTGCTTCCTATCTTGTTCATGATGTTTTTGTTAAAGGAAATAATTTAGCAATCATCGTGCACTGCGGATATATTTAAAGGTGGTATAAAAGATGTTTCACAAATTTTTTCATAACAAAATTTTACAAAATGTCGGATTTATGGAGTATGTCCCGATCTTTGAGTTTCCTGTTATGGACAAAAAAATATATATTTGTTTTTATTATAAGTTTAAATTCTATTTAAACCTAAAACCTCCAAAAGAAATGATGGCATAAAAATTAAATACAACATTTTGACAACAAATATCGATTTACATGTATATACCCCTTGAATATGCATTTGCGAAAATATAGTGAAAAGCCAAATCATTTAATGATGATAGTACTTTTTCACTTTCGGATTTAATATGATGTTGCTCAATTAAAATCATATCCATTCTGACAGTGCATTCAGGCGCGATACTTAATACCTGTTTTGGTATATCAAGCAACTTATGGTTGGCTAAACAACCAAGGTACAATCTTGCGTTTGATTAAATATAAAAAACGTTAAGTTTAAACTATAATTTATTTTTGTTTTCGTTAACTTGATGAAATATTATTAATTTTGTGTTCTCTTTTGTGGGCTTTCGTAGCGTTGGTTTTGGTAGAGAGTGACCAAAATATATTCTGGATAAATCTTAAATTCTAAAAGTCAGGGAAGTTTTTCAGTGATGCCAGATGGCAAAACCTGGCCGCCACAGTACCCCCCCCTAGACTTCATGTTCTAAAACGAACAGGGAGTCTAATTGTACGACGAGGTCTTGAAGGTTGGTTAACCGCAGGGGTCGCCGCGGTGTCTTCACTCCTGGTTCTGGGGTCTCCGTATGGATCTTGGGTCCATCGTAAGGTGGCTGAAGGGATCCACGGACAGTGTCGTTGCGTAGAAAGACGTGAGTTGCGTGTTCCAGCTCTTTAAAAACGAAAGGCTTAGATGTGTCGTGATGTGCCGTATGTATTAGCCGTATTTCTCGCATAATTTCCTCCAGTTCCTTTGCGAAGTCAGTTTGCGGTTGGATATTAGACTCTTGATGAAAAAATTCTCCTGGAAGGCGAAGGGTTGTGCCGTACACAAGTTGTGCTGATGTTGTTTGGATGACTGGCTTAAATGCTGATCGCAACCCGAGCAGGATCATTGAAAGTTTCTTTGGCCAATTTACGCAATTTTTGCACATGATGGCTGCCTTTCCTGTTCTGTGCCAGCGTTCGATGATTCCATTTGCTTGCGGGTGATATGCTGTTGTGCGAAGGTGATCTATTCCTAGCATTCGTGACAATTCATGGAACAATTTGGACTCGAACTGTCTTCCTTGGTCTGTTGTGAGCAGGAACTCCAAATCTTGAGATCCACGAACCGATAAGTGCTGAGGCACCGTGTTAGCGTGCATGTCCTCGATTGTGATGGCTTCCGGCCAACGTGTATAACGGTCAATGATTGTTAAGCAGTATCTATATTGACCCGATTGGGGTAATGGTCCGATGAGGTCCAAATTGATATTGTTGTAGCGGCGAGCGAACGTGTCGGGAAATCTTCGATTTTTGACAAGGAACGCAGTGTTTTACGAATTGAGCATTATCCTTGTGCATTGAGGACCATACGAAACGTTGTTTGATGAGTTTTATTGTTGATCCAATTCCACTGTGAGAGATGTTATGTAGTTTGCTAAAGGTCGCACGCTGGATGTGGACAGATCGCAAATGACCGAATTTGTAGAGTTAGGAATGCTGATTGACTTTAACTGCAATGCTGTGGTGTTGTCGCTAAGTAGCCGCTTTAGCTCTTCGCAATTTGCTTATGCGATGCTTAGTTGCTTGTAGTCGATCATTTCGCGTTCGATGGTTGAGATGCGAGAAAGAGTATCGGCGGTAGTGTTGTCAATGCCGGCTATATGAACTATAGAGGTGGTGAATTGGCTAATGAAATCCAAATGTGTGAGTTGTATATCAAAGGTTTATGGTCTGTACGAATATCAAATGTTCTTCCTTCTAGCATGTCGCGAAAGTGTCTGATGCTGAGGTATATAGCGAGCAGCTCTCGATCATATGTGCTTTACTTGCGTTCCGTTGCGTTGTATTCGTGCAAAAGTATGTAACAGGTAGAAGGAAGCGTTTCCGACCCTATAAAGTATATATATTCTTGTTCAGGATCACTAGCCGAGTCGATCTAGCCATGTCCGTCTGTCCGTCTGTCTGTCCGTCCGTATGAACGCTGAGATCTCGTAAACTATAAAAGCTAGAAGATTGGCATTTTGCATGTAGATTTTAGGAGTTCCTACGCAGCGCAAGTTTGGTGCCACGCCCCCTCTGACGTCCACAAGCCACAAGCTGTGGCCACAGTTTTGATGATATTATGAAAATTTTAATTGATATGTTTTTGTTTCGTCAATAAATATCCATTGGCCTAATAAAAGTTTGCCACGCCCACTCTAACGCCCAAAAACCTATTAAACACTTAAGCCTGGCTAGCGCCTACGTTTCCGCCATCTAACGGATGACTTTGGAACAGCTGGCCAAGGTGCTCAACAGAGTCAACGTTAATTCTCGATAAGGATTTCTATTAAAGGAAATTGCGATGGTTTTCATTTGTCAATACCAAACTATATCCCAAGAACTATGCAAATCAAATCTAGTTAGTCAAATTGAAGGTTTCAGTCAAACAATGGCGTATGTATGTAAGCATATACATATGTATGTATTTACATTGTACACAGTTGCAATTGCCCGGCAAAGATAACTCCTTTCAAAGAAAGCTATTCGCTATACCCGTTACTCGTGTTGTGCAAACATTTAGACTTTAATATACATAATACTATTTAAGAATGTTCTAGTCAATTTATTGCACTCAAAAACATAAACATAAGCACAGCTGCTGGTGCAGGACAAAAGCTGCCTGCGCTAAAGCAGCGCTGGTGCTGATGCTCGTGCTGCAAAGCTGCCAGCACTAAGAGATCGCCGAATTCAAATTGATAATTTGAACTTTTTGTCCTTTTTTCCTGTGGTCACTATAATTCACATTATGTTAAAAAAAAAAAACAAAAAAAAACACAAGAAGGCATATTTATATTAAGTTGTTTAGCTGAGTAACGGGTATCCAATAGTCGAGGCACTCGACTATAGCGTTCTCTCTTGTTTTATGCTGAAAAATCCCATTGGTTGGAACTGATTATCGACGACTTGATGAAGCACTGCTCCCACAGCGAAATCGCTTGCATCTGTACAGAGAGACAGTTGCGCAGCCGGTGCTGGGTGGACAAGTAATGTTGCCTCTGCAAGGTTTCATTTACATTCATCAAAATTTTTGATGGTTGCGGCAGTCCAAGTGATTGGAGTTAAATCATTCTTCTTATTTCCAGGGATAAGTTGGCTTAGCGGTGCTTGGTGTTGAATTGCATTTGGCAAGAAACGCATGTAAAAATTAATCATTGCCAAAAACCTACGTAGCTCCTTAGCGACTTTGGGCAGAGGGAAATCCGAGATGGCTTTAACTTTTTCTGGCAGTGGTTTAATGCTGTTTGGATCAATGTGATGGCCCAAGAAATCGATCGACTTCTTTCCGAAGCTGCAATGTCATCGACGTAAACGAAAACAAAATCCATCTCTGCCAGTGCGGAATGCATGTATCGTTGGAATGTTTGTGCCGCGTTGCACAACCCGAAAGTCATGTGGGTGAATTCGAATAAACCTTAAGGAGTAGTTATTGCCGTTTTGGGTATGTCTCGAGCCTCGATGGGGATTTGATGATATGCTCGGGATACCGATCTGGGGTGGTTTGGGCGTTGAGAGCTCGGTAATCACCACATGGACGCCATTCACCAGTAGCCTTACGGACCATGTGTAATGGGAAAGCGTAAGGGCTTTTTGACGGACGGCAAACACCAAGGTTGATTAAATACTGGAACTCACTTTTTATACCCTTGCAGAGGGTATTATAATTTTGGTCAAAAGTGTGCAACGCAGTGAAGGAGACATCTCCGACCCTATAAAGTATATATATTCTTGATCAGGATCACCTCCTGAGTTGATATAGCCATGTCCGTCTGTCCGTCTGTCCGTCTGTCTGTCCGTCTGTCTGTCCGTCTGTCTGTTTCTACGCGAACTAGTCTCTCAGTTTTAAAGATATCGAATTGAAACTTTGCACACACCCTTCTTTCCTTTGCACGCAGTATATAAGTCGGAACGGCCGGGATCGGCCGACTATATCCTATAGCTGCCATATAACTGATTGATCGGAAATGCCATAACTCTGCTGTTTGTTAAGTTAGGAAGTTGGGACTTTCTATGGGTTTTATATTTGGCCAATCAATCCGACGTACCAAATTTCATAAGGATCGGCCGACTATATCTTATAGCTGCCATCTAACTGATTGATCGAAAATGCCATAACTTTGGTGTTTGTAAAGTTAGGGAGTTGGGATTTTTTATGGGTTTTATATTTGGCCAATTAATCCGACCTACCAAATTTCATAAGGATCGGCCGACTATATCTTATAGCTGCCATATAACTGATTGATCGGAAATGCCATAACTTTGGTGTTTGTTAAGTTAGGAAGTTGGGATTTTCTATGGGTTTTATTTTTGCCTAATCAATCCGACATATCAAATTTCATAAGGATCGGCCGACTATATCCTATAGCTGCCATATAACTGAACGATTGGAAATGCCATAACTTTGGTGTTTTTAAAGTTAGGAAGTTGGGATTTTTTATGAGTATTAAGAATGCATTATATGAATGATTTTGGAGAATATAATTTGCAGAATATTCTTCAAGGGTATTTCAACTTCGGCTCCGCCCGAAGTTAGCTTTCCTTTCTTGTTGCTTTGGAATTTGGAATTTTTCTGGAGTTAGCCTTCTTGGCCTGGCGAATGGTGGAGATCCTTTGGTTTCGATGCAATGTGTGACGTTGGTGGTTGTTGCTTGAGAAGGACATGAGTTGAGCTGCGTGATGTCTTTAAATTCTTCCAGTAGTTTGGAGAATTCGGAGTGAATATTATATGTCCTTATCTCCGAATTCGATTGTTGGCTAAATATACCACAGCATGATAGGCGTGTTTCGACATCGACTAACTTTGAGTTTTTGAGGTCAACCAGTAGATTAAAGTGTTGCAAGAAGTCTGAACCAATGATTGGGATTTTGGTATCGGCTATGGTAAAAATCCATGTGAAAGGGCGACGTAAACCGAGATCCAGCGTAAGGCGAGTGGTGCCATAAGTTTTTATTGCTGTTCCATTGGCTGCAAATAGTTTATGTTCATTAGTGACTGCGATGTGTTGATTAATTGTGCTGGGTGGTATAATAGATACGTCAGCTCCAGTGTCGATAAGAAAACTTTTACCCGATTTGAAGTCTGGAACGAAGAGACGATTGGAGGACGAAATTCTGCAGATGTTTACTTTGAGCAATTGCGTCACGACCGTCGGAGCTGCCCTGTTGATTTCCAACGGTGGTGCTTAGTTTTTTGAACTGTTGTTGGCATGGAAAGAGCACGGTTGGATGCAACGTTGGGCACTGTCCGCATACTTGTTGTGGTACCAGCAAAATTGAGGGTTAGAATTGTCCCTGGAGGGTGTGTTGCTCCGGTAATTGTTGTTGCTGGGCGATCGATTGTAGCTCCGACCTCGTTGCTGATTTGTGGTCCCAAGCAGGTGACTTAGCTTGTTGTTGATCTGCTGCAGAATCTTGTCATTGTCGTCCAGGCGTTTACTTAATTGTGTGATGCGATCCAGCACACATGTGGTCTGAAGCGTCGTAGTTAAGAGAATCCATCACAGCATCGGCAGCAGTTGCGAGCTGCGCGAGGGTGGTGTTGGGAGGGCTTTCAAGCAGATTACTGCACGTGCCGGAGGTGGTAGGCGCTTGATCCAGTAGCGACGCACAACCGATTCATCATTGGTGGCGTTAGTTTGCTGCAATTGACTGAGTAGATGACTTGGACGACCGTCGCCGAGTTGAATTCCTGTCGCAAGTCTGTCGAGACGCACCATCTCTGATTCTGCAAATTTGGACAAAATGGCTTGTTTAAGAGTGGAGTGCGGATTCGTTTGTGGTGGGTTGTTGACAAGATCGTGCACTTGATCCAGGTATTTGGGATCAGTGTACGCGATTACTGCTGCGTATTTCTCTTGCTCTTTGCGTGCACCGAGGCCTTGCAGCATGAACCAGCTCTCCAGTTTGCTGAAAAACATTTCGATGTTGGTGATGGAATGTAGTTGAGGGAAGGGCATTTTAGCAAATACCGAGTTAACAACATTCGCATCAGGGATTTGCAATGGCTCCTGCGCGTCGACAAAATCTTCGTTGTCCTGCATTGTCTTAGGTTAGGTTGAGGTTCTGCGTAAAACTGGAATTCGTTCGCTTTTATTGCAGATGTTCGAATTGTCGAGGTCACCAGTTATGGTTGGCTAAACATCCAAGGTACAATCTTGCGTTTGATTAAATATAAAAAACGTTAAGTTTAAACTATAATTTAGTTTTGTTTTTGTTAACTTGATGAAATAATATAAATTTTGTGTTCTCTTTTGTGGGCTTTCGTAGCGTGGGTTTTGGTAGAGAGTGACCAAAATATATTCTGGATAAATCTTAAATTCTAAAAGTCTGGGAAGTTTTTCAGTGATGCCAGATGGCAAAACCTGGCCGCCACAAACATAATTTGTTAGCTAGTACATTGAACCCTTGTTTTTCAATTAAAAGATCTTAAATAACCAACTAATTTTCCTTTCTAGCTCTACCCAATAAGATGAAGAGTCCATTGTATATACAATTTGAAATTATATTTGGCTTAAGTGGTTGAACCTCATTATCAATCAATTATCAAACGGCATGGGAATAATCATTAAAAGCTTAGATGATGACTACTAAGCAGAGGAAATTATGCATTTACAATTAATTATTTTTCGATAAATAATCCTGTGGCCGATAATAGAGTATAGACTTCCGTAAATTCAACTTGTATTTTTGATATTTCATTTGTAAGTTAATTTGACTTAGGGATGTTTGTATTTAATATACCGTGATTAATACCAAATAAAAGGCTTATAATTCCTGCCTGTAGCTTTTCGCCTTCTTCAATCAAAGACTTTAGGTCTTTGGTTATCATAAAAGAGCTAATCGATTTAAGAACTTTTGTCATATATTCTATTCTTTGAATCATACTCTTAAAATTAGATAATGTCTTCGGTAGTCTTTTTTAATAAATTTGTTGTTGAATCTGCGACTAATGTTTGTTTTTGTCTATATGGTTTCCTATTATCCATTATACAATATAGAATGTGATATAGTGAACCCATAAACAGAAACGGAGCACGTTTGCTTCGCTTAACTTGCAGAGGGCATTATAATTTCAAAAGTTTGCAACCCAGTGAAGGCGACGTTTTCGACCCTATAAATATATATATTCTTGATCAGCATCACCAGGAGAGTCTGGCCATGTCCGTCTGTCCGTCCCTCCGTCTGGACGTCCGTCTTTCCGTCTGTCCGTCCGTCCGTTTCTACGCAAACTAGTCCCTCAGTTTTAAAGCTATCTGATTGAAACGAGTCGATTTTGCGCGGCATTTTGCCATCGTTTCTATGGCAGCTATATGATATTGTTGTCCGACTTTGACAAAACTGAAAGCCTAATTCTGGTATTGTAAATAATTACTTTATCTCAAAGGAATATTTTGATAAACAGAAAAACAGCAAAATAATTTTTGTTTTCATTTAAAATTTTTTGATTTTCTTTTTTTAGGAGCTATATAATATAGATGTCCGATTTTAATTTAATTAAAAACGTAATTCCATAGTATTTAAATTTTGTCAAATCCCAAAGAACAAAAAAAAAAAATTAAAACAAAGTTATTCTTTTCTAAAATTTTTTTTTCGAATGTTGGAGTTATATGATATAGTCGGCCGATCCGGCTCGTTCTGACTTATGATACTACCTGCAATAGAAAGACAACTTTTAGGAAAGTTTCAAGGAGATAGCTTTAAAAATGAGCGACTAGTTTGCGTAAAAACGGACGGACAGACTGAAATATTTATTTGGCGATACCTTTTTATCAATGTCCGCTGATACTACATACTGCAATATTTACTCTCAAATTAAAAACGCCTTAATAACATTTTCGTTTTATCTTTACCTTTCGCTCTGTGCCAGCTGATGGCTACCAGGTCTGTAAATTAGAGTTGGCAGCATTTTGAAATAAACTTGCGCTGCGTAAGAAATCCTAAAACTCTGTATTCTATATACCAAATCTCTAGCTTTTTACTTTCCGAAATGTCGATGTTTATACGGACGCACAGACAGACATACATTAATCGATTTGGCTTTTGATCTTGACCAAGAATATAATTATGTCATAGGGCCGGAAAAGCTTCCTCTACCTGTTATATACTTTCCAATGAAAACAATATACTCCTTTACTGTAGGAGTAACGGGTATAAAAATCGACTGTAAATTTCTCATAGTCAGTAAAACCTACTATTTTAAAACATTTATTCCCAATTTCGTAACTTAATTAATTAATCCCAATCATTAATTAAGGTTACGAAACCTACAAACAAATTACGGTATCTCTTGTAACTCCAATTTATATAATTAAATCGACAATTTACCTCCAGAGATGAAAGTTTCCGTTCCAACTGACCGGATTACCATTTGTATACCCTTGCGGAGGGTATTATAATTTTGGTCAAAAGTGTGCAACGCAGTGAAGGAGACATCTCCGACCCTATAAAGTATATATATTCTTGATCAGGATCACGTCCTGAGTTGATATAAGCATGTCCGTCTGTCCGTCTGTCTGTTTCTACGCAAACTAGTCTCTCAGTTTTAAAGATATCGAATTGAAACTTTGCACGCACCCTTTTTTCCTTTGCACGCAGCATATAAGTCGGAACGACCGGGATCGGCCGACTATATCCTATAGCTGCCATATAACTGATTGATCGGAAATGCCATAACTTTGGTGTTTGTAAAGTTAGGAAGCTGGGATATTCTATGGGTTTTATATTTGGCCAATTAATCCGACCTACCAAATGTCATCAGGATCGGCCGACTATATCCTATAGCCGTCATATAACTGATTGATCGGAAATGCCATAACTTTGGTGTTTGTGAAGTTAGGAAGTTGGGATTTTTTATGAGTATGAGAATGCATCATATAAATAAATTTTGGAGAACATAATTTACAGAGTATTCAACTTCGGCTCCGCCCGAAGTTAGCTTTCCTTTCTTGTTTTATTCTGTAAATTACGTTTCTCGCCTATTTTCATGCCTATTTTATTTTTTAATTCCCACATTTAGTGCTATTTTTAGTAAATGTCGAATCTTCTTCAACTTTTCCATTTAGAGATTGGTTGATATATTAATTGATATATACATCCCTTAAGAAACTTTTTTGCCGGCTCACAAACATCTACAAGTTTTTCGGTGCAAATTTAAATATATTTTATACGGATTCTAATAGCTTTTGCAGATTTTAACGAAGACAACCAAGGTACAGTCGAAAAATACACGTTTGGCAAGTTTAATTACGCCACCAAAGAAATTAATTGTTTCAAACTATTTTAAGATTACTTTACTTGTAAATTTGTGACGCTGCGAGCACAAAAACATGGCATGAATAAATAAAAAGACTAAAAATTAAACGAAAGAAGCATTTAATTTAAAATTCAAACTATGAACGCGCGCGCACCAACGATCGGGGCACACTAGACCGAGAGAGATGGTCACACTTAGACACACTTGTAGTTAGTTCCCGTAGTACTTCCTCCTCCCATAAACCTTGTCGGTCCGAAGGTATCACTAGGAGACGTCTGATTTCAGGATCACACCTCCTTACGGCGCGGTTCACCGGCCGAACTCTCTCTCTTGTGGCTGACTTCAGGGTCCCCAAGCAACTCTCTCTCTCTCTCTTGTGGCTGACTTCAGGGTCCTCAAGCAACTCTCTCTCTCTCTCTTGTGGCTGACTTCAGGGTCCCCAAGCAACTCTCTCTCTCTCTTGTGGCTGACTTCAGGGTCCCCAACCAACATTCTCTCTCTCTTGTGGCGGACTTCAGGGCAAGCAACATTCTCTCTCTCTTGCGGCTGACCTCAGGGTCCCCAAGCAACATTCTCTCTCTTGCGGTTGACTTTCGGGTCCCCAAGCACTAAAAACTCTCTCTCGCTCGTGGCTGACTTCAGGGTCCCCAAGCACCCCATTCTCATTTCAGGCTCGCTACGTGGCAACCCACCCCGGTGTCTACTCTACCCGCAGCCGTAATCCCGTGCTGCTCCTCTCGAGCAGCTATACGGCTCCCGATACCAGGCATTCGAAGTGTACGAAGGAAGCGAAGGCAGCAAGGGCGGCACCCCGCCAGTCCGGAGAACCCGTTAGTTATTAATCAAACGTCAACAAACCTAGTTATAATCAATTACTAAGTAATTCCCCACGACTTCTACTCTGGGCTGTGTCGGAACTCTCTTTCAGCAACCACACCTGACACAAACAAATTCTTGTGACGAACCCTGGCCATCCCTGAGCCACCCGACAATGACAAACCGTCACAAATTATATTTTTACTAAATTCCTTGATTATTATTGTGTCAGATTTTAATAAAATTGGTTCAATTTGAATTATTTATAATTTTTTTTTGCTTTCACCTCAGAAACAGGTCTTAGATGTTTTGCAAATCAGGGACTAGTTAAGAAAATTTTGTTATGCATTTTCAGTTGTTTCAGTTTACTAGAGATCTGGCAATGCTAGCTAGCATTGTACAAAAAATGCTAGCACTAACAAAATTTCCAAAAACATGTTGTAACTCAAAACAACAAATCTTTAAATCGAGCAAGACAGCCAGTTTCCACAAGAGTGTTTTAACACTTCTGTCGGCGAGTTTCCATCATAGTCTTTAAAAATAGATACAAATGATTATTTTTGTATATCAAAGATTTTTGCATTGATGTTATGTAACTGATATGTCCCCAATAATGCCTATAGATTACAAAATTTTGATCAGACCTTTGTCAGGAAGCTCAGACAAAGCACAGATTTTGTTTGAAGCATTTTTTTGACCTGTTTTATATACAATTTTTCGTATTTTCATGGGTTTCCGCCAAACAATGGACTGGCCGTCACTGGCCGTCACAAGAAAATAACATCTTTCCTCTTGGATTACTCCTGGGCAAACTTTCTTCTTTTTTTTCGATTGCGCTTAAACAGCAAAGGCTTATTCCTAGCGACTCTATGTAGAAAACCAAGTTATGTTCCAGGATACTGGAGTGCCAACGGTAACGGAGACGATTTGTAAATCCTCAAGTCGATACCGGGAACGTCTATTCACACATGCAAATTGTTTGTAGTGACATCTTGCAACACCACTGGGTCGACGGCGTCACCGCAGACGT